AGGATTCTGAAGCTTCATCTGACATACCCTGGATATGTTGCAAGGAGGGACCAGTTCTTGAAGAGGGACATCATGCTTGGGACATGTGGAGGGACAGCGTAGGAGGGAAAGACCCTCTATGAGGTGGATTGATTCAAAGTCTGGGGTAATGGGGATAGACGTGTCAGAGTCATTAAGATTGGCGAGGGATAGAGCAGGGTTTAAGGCTGTTGTACACAAGGTTGCTATGAGTCGCAAGCGACTCAATGGCACATAACAACAACAACAACAACAACAACAACATAAGCAGAAATAGAATTATGTATCTTTCAAGTACTCACAAAGAAATGAGTAAAATGGAGTTTCTTCTTTCCTTTTTGTCTGCTCCATTACTATAGCATTATTGAGATATGTTGTTGTTGCTATGTATCATCTAGTAGAAACTGACCCATAGCTGACCCTCCAGTGGGTTTTCTGAGGCAGTTAATCTCACGGGAGGAGACTGCCCATCATTCTCAATTGTATAATTGGTGGTATCCAAACTGGGATTGCAGTGTAGATTTTTATCAGAGTTCCTCATAGAGGTATAACATGTATTATTTTAGTCTATATCATATTATTGTTGCTGTTGATTGCCATCGAGTCAAGCATGACTCACAACAACTATGAACAAAAGATATGAAGCCTTTCTAGAACGATCATTGTTTCTCAAAGTTCATAGAGTTTCCAGAGTCATGTTGTTTAGGAAGTAGATGCCACTTCAGCTTCCAATATTATATTTTAAGGAAGAAAATATAAAACTTTTCATGACTAATTTTCCAATAGGGTATTCCAGACCACATCTTTTAAATAAAATTCAACCCATTAAACTATTAGGCACCAAGATAAAGAGAAAATTCCAAGAGTGTGCTGCTGAGCCTCCCATTTTTCTTTTCTGATGTGTAACAACATTCAATAATTGCCTGTCATGTTTATCTGGCACCATTAAAATCCTTAATGTTACAAGTGAACTGCTAGATAAGCATTCCCGTGCCTACTCTGCTCAGATAATTTTTGAGGGCAATTAACACCAAGCAATCATGAGAGACGGAGAGCCAGAGAAACATTTGAAGTGTTTTAATGCTAAGTAAACTGGTAGCATCTTATTTTAATTTATAGCTTCTGAGGAATGCTGGAATTAAAATAAGTGACTTCACAATTATGAGTGTTAAAACTTTTAACAGTTCAACACTTATATCAGCATACACACAAATAAACTCCAGACGTCGGTTTCCACTTTTTTGTATTCTATATTTGTGCTGATTGCTGCTTCAAGTTGAATGAAAACAAACCATCATAAAACACCAGAGTGGAGAGCGGTAGATTTATTGCCTTTGAGTTAGAGCCAATCACCTCATTCATCTGAATTATGAAAGTACAGATAAAGTGACTCACAACAACTTTCACAATTACCAAACTGTACATTGCTGAAGGTATTAAAGTATCCATTTTCAAAACATACGGCAAATATTGGTTGGTCCTTATTTATAGCTGTGAGAATGAGCAACTCGGACACTATCTGAAACATCTGGATTAATCTAAAAATTGACCTCAAAAGCCTCTGCTACTGAAATGAGTATTATAAGCACGTGTCGGTAAACTAAGAATGAGAAAATATTGCTTGACTTATATCTGGGACGGCCCTCCTAGGTTTGAGAAAAATGAAAAAAAAAAAATTTCCCCCATTTCCCAAAGGATAATCTTTATCAATTATAGATTAGTATAGGGATTAGTAATTTGACAATTTTGGGAAGTCAAAAGGTTACGTATTTATACAAGTTCCATATGTTTTAAAATATTATAAATAAAATTAATATCTATTAATATTATATATTAGTACTTTCAATTGCTTTGTATACACCTGAGAGTTATACAATCTATAAGGAAGACTAAAAAAGAATCGATGATTTTGAGTTTTGGTGTTGGCAAAAAGTATTGAGTATCCTGTGGACTGTCAAAAGAACAAACAAATTTGTCTCGGAGGAAATGCAGCCAGACTGCTTTTTAGAGGCAAGGATGATGGAACTCCCTCTCACATATTTTGGGCACCTTATCAGGAGGGGTCAGTCTTGGAAAAAAAGAATCACAATGGGAAAGTAGAAGAACAGAGAAAGAAAGGAAGACCCTTAAAGTAATGGTGGTATGTAACTTTCTAATTAATAAGTATTTATCTTTTTTTCAGAATATTTCAAGATCAATATGAATGTTTTAGTGTATGAAAGTAACAAATTACATAGATTAAAGTATAACATTTACAATTTTAACTAATATTATTAATAGAGGAAGTTTCTACAAAACAAACTTTGGCAATGGACTTTTGTACATAGTACAAACATATATTGGACAGACTAAACACTTAAGGTGAA